CTCTTCTTTAATGCATCTGGAACGGCCCGTACTGAAACTGGAACGGTCAACGGACCGAACGGGCCGTTCTCTTTGCAGAACGGCCCGTACTGCTTGCAGAACAACCCGTTCTGCAAGGAGAACGGCCCGTTCTGCAAGGAGAACGGGCCGTTCCAGCGGAACAAATAGCAAAAAAAAAAACAAAATAATTACGGGGACAACAAACTAACCTCAAACGACCAACATGTAGACACTTAGAGACTTGGATACGTTGAATGTAGCAATAAACGCAGTGGGAGACTCAGAAATTCAGAGAAAATGAGAGGGGTTGTTTGTAAATTGTGAGCGCGAGAATGGAAAATACAAAGGTGGGGAATATAGAGCCATTTTTTACGTCGGGTTTCGTTGATCCGACGTAAATTTACGTCGCACTATGAAACTGCGACGTTAATTCCCACATTTACGTCGGACTAGGGGGGATCCGACGTAAATTAGTCTCCACTTAATTACGAAATGCCACCGCATTTTTACAATGTCGGTGTTTACTGTTTCCGACGTAAATTGGGTGACGTAAATACCCTTTTTTGCACTAGTGAATATTAATTAGTTGTTTAAGACTCATAATTAGTGATAATTTTGAATGATCAAAGGATATAAAAATTTAAAAGTATTCACAACCGCTCAAGAAAGCTTATTCAGTGTTTCAATTAGCAAAAGATACTTTTATGCATTAATATAATGAAAAGGTTTGGGACCATGACTGGAATGTCAGCCAACCAGAGTCACACAAGACCAAATAAAAAAAAAAAATTGCACTAGGACCGGCCGTTACCTAAAGTAAAAATAACACACTAGAGTCAGGAAAAGAATAAAATACTGAACCATAAGTATACTACAATTGAAACTAGAGAGACGATTTTATTTATTTTGATTATCTTGAATTTGATATTTTAAAATAATAAAGAAGTGTTCTTCTTTTATATATGTTCGATTAATTCTTTAAAGATAGAGATCATAAACCAAGAGCATATGATTTTATTTTATTTGGTTTCTAATGTTATCCTAAGCTTTGAATTCTTCAGTCCCAGGTTAGGTTCATAGGTACATCATGCACGTACTTGATTACAGGCAGAACAATGCACACAATTTAACAAATATAGTCGCAATGTTTTCTTTGAAAAGAAGAAAGAGCACAACTACCCACCTTTAAATATCAAAAAACAAGAGAAATTTACGAAGTACGAAGAACAATAGCTGTTATACTGTGAGGATTAAAGTATACATATGTTCTTAAACAAATGAGATACCTAGACAGTTGTGATTCCGAAAATGAGAGAATGATAATTTTTTTTATAACACCGAAAAAGACCATATGATACTATCAAGTACCTACTGTTAGGATAACAATATGGGCATCAAAACATTCTCATCATGTAAATGTTGTGGTAAGTTTCTGAATATGATACCGAAATGCTTTCATAATTATCATGTTAAAATATTCTAGAATTATGTAAAGGTCGAAGAGAAGATAATTTAAGCGCTTATAAGTCTCAAACGTTGGGAGCATAGGGAACCCCGGTGCAAACTGAAAGTAACGTACACTTTAAGGTACGAAAAATAGAACTTAAGACATTCATCTCACTTTACTTTTTAAGAGTGAGATAAAGTCGATCTATGTAATTAAGCTATTATCCGAACAACAATTTGCTTGGTCTCACTTTGCATTGGTTTTATTTTTTGATGTTTCAAAGTAATAATAAAATTTAAAACTTATCAGCTTAAGCTCTTTTTATGTTTCTTTTTCTTTCTTTTCCTTCTGTTAGCGAAAAGAAAAAGGTAACTAACTATAAGGGAAAAATATCCGTAAAAGGCTCATTTAAGTAAAAAATAAGTTAAAGTATGATATATATTATTCACTTACGAAAAAGAGTATAAATTTTGGAATAAAACAAAAACACAATCATAAAAATATACTATTTAAAAGGATTGAGTATAATTTCCCCGATAGTTAAGGAAACAACAAGAAATTTCATCTTTATGATAAAATATAGTATTAAAAAGATTGAGTATAATGTTGCTTTAATTTTTGGTTTGTTGGTAGTGTTTTTTCTTGGCGACTTTGTAGTGGTCCTTGATTGTTACGCTTCAAGACGATGATGGTCTTTGATGTATCTATACAACCCAGGCCAACTTAACTATCAAGTTGACTCAAGAGACATTTGTAATTACACAAGTTTTCTTCTCTCATTTTCAGTTAAAATGCGAGCATCCAAAGGATGTGGACTTGATTCATTTTCTTTCAAATAAATGTGTAAACACATCCATGTCAAGCCGGCTACCTTCTCTCTTTAATTGTTTTTTAAAATTTTCGCGGCAATTAAAATTTTATCATAAAGTTCTTTTGGTAGGTTAGTTAATTATTACAACCAGAGGATATGCTATTAATTAGCACACATCGATTATGACTTCAGTAAAAAGGGGATGCAGAGTCAAGGGAAAATTCTAATATTCACGATAGTGATTTATCTGAATAATAACATTTCTGACTTCAAAAACATAAATTAATGATTATTTATGACCATTTAGTTCATAAAATCTTCAAACAAGATATTAAAATAGTTTTAAACGCAAGTGATTGCATGAGATGGATTACAAATTTACAATCAATGATAACAAGAGGCATAAGCAGGGAATGTAACAACAGAAAACTAATGACACCAAAATTGATGCCAAATATATTTAATTTTTTTAAAAAATAACTGTAATATATTTAGATTGACATTATTTTTTCTCTTGCTATGACCCCATCAACATTTAACGGTATAACCATTATATCTAGCAATAAATCGCATGATTGCTATAATAAAAAAATGTAATATTCTAGTATTAATTATTGTACGTTAAATTGGAATGTGTAAAGAGCTTGAAGGGGTAGCAGTAGCATGCATTATTAGGTGGTTTAAGATTTTTTTGGTTTGAGAGTATCTATCGCTGATAGTAGTGACTAATTTCCTTGCTAAGTTGGAGGTATATCAAAGGATGAGATAACTGACTCTAAGATTTAACACGACTGCATATACAAGACAAGTGTATGTTTAATTACACGTCTAAAATGTAATTCAGAAAAGAAAAAAAATATTTAAAATATAAAAATTATAAATGATATTCTAATATTAAGGCAACAATTGTGAAACGGGGCAACGCCGCTGGGAGCTCTTTTTCGCATCATGATTTTCCCACCTCAGTCATCAATCATGTCCAATGAGTATTCAACTTCTCCACAACACATCGCAACCATAGTAGTAATAATGTAATTTCACCCCAATGTCTGTGACGTAAGCGTGATGTGAATCCGCACTAGTCCATGGATCATGTCCACTACTCTCTCCCCAACTCCCACAGTGCCACCTCTCTCTCTCTCACCAAACAAAACAAAACAACACAAAACAAAACACACACTCTCACTCTCTCTCTCTCTCTATCTCTCTCTGTATCTGTATCTGACTCCCGACACTGTTTCAGAACCCGACAAAAGCAAAGCAACCTCTGCCTCCTTCTTCTCACTCTCTCCTCAGTGGCTCTACCCGTAATATACCCCAAAACTTTTCCTCTTTCTCAAACCACACACACACGCCACTTCCTTTTATTTTTCTTGCAGACAAGAGAGAATGAGAATGATATCGCACTTCACTTCCACCCCTTCAAACCCCTTTCCTCTCTAATGGACAACGTGGTGATGCCTCTCTACAAGCTCCAAGCTCGCGGCATAATTTAGACACTTTTTTTTTTCTTGCTAAAGCCTTTACTTTGCTCTCTCGCTTTCTCTCTCCACTTTACTTTGGTTTTTTGTTTTTCTTTCTCTCTCTACACCTTCCTCTGCCGGAGGATGGCATGCCGGAAACTCGTCGCCGGGAACTTGGATCCGCAGAGGAAGAGGAGTGGCGGGTTGAGAACGAAACAGGCGGGGAGAGGATCGTGCCGTGGTAGTTAGGTCTCCGAATCTGAACTCGCCGGAAAAATGAAACCTTTCCGGCTTTGATGCTCACCCTTTTGTTTTTTTTTCTGTTCGTGCATGCTGTTGTGAATCTTACGTTAAGTGAACTCTCGAGAGAGGATTTGTGAAAGATGGGTTTTTTGTTGAAAGAAGCTTTGAAAACTCTCTGCGGTAGGAATCAGTGGTCTTATGCTGTGTTCTGGAAGATCGGTTGCCACAATTCCAAGTAAGATTCTTCTGAAGATATCAAAAGTAAAAAATTTGTTTTTCGTTTTAGACTTTTAGTTTTTACTCTCTGCATAAGAAAAAAGGTTATGCAATGTTTTTGCTTGTTTCATCTTCCTTGTGTTAACTGTTAAGTTTTGCTGTTTTTTATGTGTAGCCCGTGCTTATGAGCTTGAGGAAAAAGTTACCTGGGGTGGGAACGAAGTTTTTTTGAGAAAATTCTGGTTTTTTTAAGATTTTCAGAATCAACTTTGGTTAAATTAAATGTCTTTTGTTATACGTTAGGTTTTCGTGCTTGTACGCTTGTACTTTCTCAGGATACCGTATTGGGGGATCTCATACGAAATTTATGTTCATATTAGATTCTGTTTCTGGGGTTGATTTGTTTCCTATATATGATTGACATGATGGGGTCTCATTTATGGGTCACTGCTTCCTTTTATTTGATTCGTATTCGTTTTCTGCAATATACTCTTTACTACTTTGGAACTTTGTGCCTTGATTGCTTCTGATTTGTCTTCAAGAATCTTAGTTTTTATATTATATTTGTATACTTAAAAAGAAGTTTATTTGCCATTGGTTTGCCAGGCGCACTACCTATTGGATTTATGGTCTCTGATTCTGTAAACGAATCTGCTAATTCGAAATTTGCCTTTGTCGTTTGATTCTGTTTGGTCTTATTTATTTTTTATTTTTATTTTCATGGGGGTTTTTCTGTTGATCAATCTTTGTCATGCAAACAACTTATGATGCCTGATTGCTTACAGCCAGTAACAGATTACAAAAATATCCACTTTATTTCCTTGTTTTTGGTCCTCTCAGCCTTTTGTTTTCTTTTCTGACTAAATATGTGGAAGTATCTTTGTAGCTTGTTCATTAATCTCAGCTGTCAAAATGGAGTTTTAATTATTAAGCTCTTTTTTTTTTCTTTCTTTTTTTCTTTTTTTTTTCTTTATGCTTATTGCTGCTGATTAAATATATTTGTTTTTGTTAAGTTACATGAGTATGGTTTGAATTTGCAGGCTATTAATCTGGGAAGAATGCTATTATGAACCTTTACCATGCCCTCCTCGTATGTTTGGAATGCCTGATTTGCCTTACCAAAATGGCGAAGGATGCTGGTTTTCTTTGGAGTCTCAGTCATCTCAGCTCGGGATTCAAGAGGAGGACCGAGTCTGTTCTTTGATTAACAAAATGTCTGTAAACAATTCAGTTATCATTGCAGGTGAAGGGTAGGTGCTTTCTGTCTTTGTGTATATGTGCATTTTTAATTCAGGTTCCCAACAAAAATTTGATCTGATTCTGTTGCTCTCATGTTACTTAAATGCCATGTTTTCTGCTACTCAGTACAATTGGACGGGCTGCATTTACGGGCAGCCATCAGTGGATTCTTTTGAACAATTTCACTAAAGATGCATATCCACCAGAGGTATGAAGTTGATTATTGTGGTAGCATAAATATGTATATTTTTTTTCTAGGAAAGTTTAAAGACTCAGGACAGGAGTATTATTACCTGTGAACTTCGTTTTGATATCTTATATTTGGGCTCTTTTTAGGTATACGCTGAAGTGCATCATCAGTTTTCAGCTGGAATACAGGTTTGTGACTTTCATTATGCTCCCTGTATTGTTATGAATTTTTTATTGCTGTTTCTTGATATCATATCATATTGTATTTGCAGACAGTAGCAGTTATTCCTGTGCTGCCTCACGGGGTTGTTCAACTTGGTTCTTTCTTGCCTGTAAGTCCTTTTCCTTTGTTCTGTAATTCTGGAGAGATGTAATGTAACATAATATCTATGATGACTTCATCATGCTAGAGCAATGAATTAGGGTGAGACTTGAGAGGACAAAGTATCTCACCTTGTAAATATATTGGTCAAGGTTAATGTTTCAGGCTAACTTGAGCACTTAAAAGTTGCATATCAATCACTCAAGGATCACAAGAATATGATCCATTGCATTAATTTAGGATATCTAGCCTTGAAAATTGAGACATTGGCTAGCGAGTTCTTTCAATCATGTAAATCCCCGTTGTCATATAATTCACTCCCGAGCTAAATTCTATGACCTGAGTGATATCCTTTGGTGATTCCTGATCGCAATTTATGGTGGTGATTAGTGAATAAATTGAAATGCAAGAAGTTTGAACCTTGCTCAAGATTTTCTTTATCTGTTGTGTCATTGAGTTTTACAGATGGAGCATTGCTAGTGCCTAGTTTAGATGAGTTTTTTTTTTGTTCTAGTTTGCAATCTAGTGATTGTGCTATCATTCTAGAAGCTTTCATGTCTGTTGTTCCAATGTTCCTAAACTAATGCACCAACACTTAATGGTACAGATAATTGAGAATATGGGATTTGTGAATGATGTTAAGAGCTTGATCTTGCAATTGGGATGTGTTCCTGGTGCCCTTCTATCCGAAGACTATTCAGCTAAAAACTCTGTCAAAAGACATGTTGAACCTGCTATTGCTGGTGTACCTGTATCTATTGATCTGCCTGTCATCACCTCAAATTGCACTCCCTCAGTAACTAATGGCTCCAACCAACAAAGTAGTTCATCTTATGCTTCAAGACCTTTTGTTCAAACACTTTGTCCTCTAAAGGCAGAGATAAATACTTCCCAAGGTTTTGCATTGACACCTGAAACTCGTATACTGAATCAGATATCCAATAACCCCTGCCTACCAAAGGTTATTCCAATTAGTAAAACAAGCTTTGCTGGCCAACGAGAGAATAGAGTTGTGGAAGCTGAAGTGATACCCTCAATTCTTGATTCATGCCTGCAGCAGCATTCTGCTTCATATAATGCAAGATCTGCATTGAATAACTTAACTTGTTCTGGTTCTTTTGGCCAATCTGGTCTAAGTGATGATAATCTAACATATATGGAACAACAAATCATATCAGCCATTGGGAATCGAGATAATGTTAATCCTTGTTTACGTGCATCAAGTACTTTAAACATGTCCCAACTAAAAACAGATGGAGGCCATATACATGGACACTATCTGGGTTCTGGCAGTACTTCATTACTTGGAGGGACTCCAACACATGGTGGGATGAGTACACTTTTGAGGTCAAATCTGATCACTAGTTCTGGTTCAAAATCTCCCCAAGCATCCACTACTGATTTATCTGGAGTAGAAGTTGGGATTGGACTTCAAAATTGTGATTCTTCAACTAAAGCAAGGAGTTGTTCGTTTGCAAATTTGACTAATCAATCAGGCACCTTTCCCATGCATGTAGAAGGTTCTGATCAGAAGATTCTCCCAGTAGATCTAAAGTGTGCTTCAACAAATCAAAAGATGGATTATGATTTGCTTCAGACCCCTAACCTGCCCTCTTTTCATGCTGAGGAGCATGTGCCCATTAGTGGTCAAATCCCTGGTCTTGCCAACGATTGCCTTCATAAAGATGGTAGTAGCCAATCTATGATGACAATGAATCCTAAGCTCAAACTATCTTGTGCTAAACCTCCATCAGGTGATGACCTGTTTGATGTTTTAGGGATGGATTTGAAACACAAATTGCTGAATGGAAACTGGACTAATCTCTTAGCTGATGAATCAGATGCTAATGCAGAAAATGTGGACAAAAAAGTAGCACCTATGAACATGCAGAGTGCAGCAACAGATCCGGATATTTATTCAGTTAAAGAGGCAATGTCGTACAGTGGCATCTTTTCTGGGATGGGAACAGACCACCTCTTGGATGCTGTGGTCTCCAAAGCCAAGTCTGTTGTAAAACAGGATTCTGATGAAATGTCTTGCAGGACAACATTGACAAGGAATAGTACCTCCTCGGTTCCCTCTCCTTCCTGTAAGCCAGTTATGTCTGGTCATGTGCAACGGGGATTGTTTGATTTTCCTAAGAATGGTGGTAAAACAGGTGCCACAGAAACTAGTTTTCTTAGGTCGGGATGTAACAAGGATGATGCTGGAAACTGTTCTCAAACTAGTTCTGTTTATGGCTCTCAACTTAGTTCATGGGTTCAGAATAGTGGGAGTGGTGTGAAACGTGAGAATAGTGTTTCAACTGGATACTCAAAGAGGCCAGATGAAGCTTGCAAACCAAATCGTAAAAGGCTTAAACCAGGAGAGAATCCCAGGCCTCGACCAAAAGATCGCCAAATGATTCAAGATCGCGTGAAAGAGTTGCGAGAAATTGTGCCAAATGGAGCAAAAGTATTTCCTTTCTTATTGTACATTCATATAGTTTTGGTAATTTAAATATTTGTTCAGGTACTGAGTTTCTTTTGTTTCTTTTATGATCTTCAGTGTAGTATAGATGCACTTTTGGAACGGACCATTAAGCATATGCTTTTCTTGCAAAGTGTGACAAAGCATGCTGACAAGCTGAAGCAAACAGGGGAGTCTAAGGTATGCGACAGTATTCACTTCTGTGTACCTTTGGCAGTTGATCTAGTTATGATTTGGGAATGTTTTATTTTGATGGGGAACAACAATTAAAGAAAAAAAAAAATTTGTTAGCATTTTGAGAAGTTTACTTTCCTGTTTATTTGGTAGCTCAAAATGTAATATCAGATGAACCCTTTATCACAATAAAATTTTGGTGTGCATCATCAATACTATGAGGGACTATAAAGAAGAATCTGTGGCAGATAAATATTTTGTTTGAGAAATTATTAATAGCGAAAAAATGGTGATTTTTCTTCCTTAAATATGCAGATTATTAATAAGGAAGATGGGCTGCTTTTGAAAGACAATTTTGAGGGAGGGGCTACATGGGCATATGAAGTTGGCTCACAATCAATGGTTTGCCCTATTATAGTCGAGGATCTGAATTCTCCTCGTCAGATGCTTGTGGAGGTAGTGGATGGTTTATGAAGTACTTTTTTGGTCCTAATATATTTCTTTATCACCATTATAATCGTTTGGCTTGTTTATTCCTACAGATGCTTTGTGAGGAGCGAGGCTTCTTTTTGGAAATTGCTGACTTAATCAGAGGATTAGGTTTAACCATCTTGAAGGGGGTAATGGAATCTCAAAATGACAAAATCTGGGCACGCTTTGCTGTTGAGGTAATACTCCAGAAAGGGACATATCTTATCATAACTTCATAAGTAGAGAATGAATTACCATGTTATTAGTCTTGGGATTGAGCCTAACTCATCCTACAAAATCAGCTTCTAAGGTGAGACTATGAGAGTTGTCTCTTATACTCTCTATCTTGACTTTATCTCTAGTTGATGACTTTTTCCTATTAGTCTTAAAAGAATAATATTTAGTGCCTCATCTGCATCCTCTCAACCATTTTAAAATTTAATTGCAGGAAGAGACATTGCATGTTTTTACTGTTTGTTGATTTTGATATTATCTGCCCCCTAAAATCAAAGATTATGATCATGAGGGTGAGGAATCCAATGTAATTAATTTAATTTGCAGGCAAACAGGGATGTAACAAGGATGGAAATATTCATGTCACTCGTTCGTCTTTTGGAGCAAACAGTGAAGGGCAATGCATCTTCCTCCAATGCAATTGATAACATGATGGTGTATCACTCTTT